ATAGAGAGAGAGAGAGAGAGAGAGAGAGAGAGATGGGACATTTTCAAGATTAGTAAAGGCGAGTTGAAAGTACGAAAACAAACGTCATTCGACGTTACATAACCCTTTAGAAAAACAGCCAACCAGAAAGGGGATTTCATTTTATTTATCTTCGCCTTCACATTTGCGTTAAACCTTTACCACAATGTGAAGACAGACTGTCTAGAACGATGTCCGTTTTTGACATAACCGATTTTTACAAAGCACTGTATCAACTTTCAAATAATTAATCGAAGGTGTTATTTTACTCTGGTATCATAGCCCTGCTAGGGGGGATAATCTTTTACCTAAAGATGGTAAAAGCCAAGTACTTCAGGGATCACTAAACGAAAAAGGTATGGTACGGTATGGTATGGTATGGTATGGTATGGTTTTAACGCCTTTTTCGACACAATAAGGAGACGCCCACCTTCGATGTTTCCACGCGAAGAAGGTGAAAACCATTAAAGCTCCCCCAAAACCCAGGTTTAAGAGCACATTATCGGGATTAGAACCAGGGTCATCCGCAACGTAACCCAACACGACTGCTTATCTAACATCCCGCCTCACGAGCAAAATGGAAAACCATTTCGACCTTCAACTTGAAATTCAAGATTGAATTGATTGGTAACGTTGCGGCTGAACCAGTTGTCTTCAGATCGACTTAGGTTTCCATGAAGTGGGTGCATGTCTGTGAAACTAGCATTACTATGAGAGTTTTCACAACACTTCTCTTACATTAGATTTTGTGCAAACTGGAATACAGACGCTTGGAGGTAGGCCTATCGGCTTCTGTAGATAAATACATTTCATGAACGTATTTCAGCCTTTCCACTGGAGTCTAAGACCCATTTAGTCCTGACTAATCCTGATAGATGCGATCGAAGCACCCGGCCCCATAAATGATATAATTTGTCTGGATGGGACTTCAAAACATTTACGATTAATTCTGACTTTTGGCGAAAATCGTAATCACGAAACTCCCTCATTTTGACATCCATGCTCCATCAAAAATGCCTTTGAATTTTAGC